TGATTTATCATGGATCACTTGCAGTTCATAGCACCGTTGACTCCATTGTTAACAATAGGAATAACCAACTACTAATACACACGTGGAATTTTTTCTAAACTGCACAATTCTTAGTGAATCTAAATTCAATGCATATCGAGTGAATACAGAAGAAACAAAATTGTATTATTTCTAAGTTCAAAGTTCGATGTCTCTTATAAGTGCAATTAACTAGTAGCCTCAATGGCCCAAAGCAATTTATAATTATGTTATGAAACAGAACGACCAGCGCTAGTGGGCGTTCCTTTCCTGAACTTTAACGATTTCGCCTTCTATATGTGAAGTGGTGCAGCAATACAGCCTGATTAACAAATATGTTCTTCCCAACCAATCAAATTTACCCGCTATTCGCCACAGGTCCTGACGCTCCACTCGCTTTCTGCCGCGGTCAGCTGACGTTCGACGCATTGCTGCTTCGACAAACGGACAGACGGAACTCGGTTTGGAGTGGAAGGCAATCTTCGCTTTGCGTCGTGTAGAGGATAGATTGAAGTTGCGCACTTCGTCGCCGCCGTCGCCTGATCCTGAAGTCTGATCTGCCCATCGTTCTTGTCTGAAATATGCCGATTTTTTAGCACAATGGAGGAGGAACTGCGATGCCCTAACTGCAAAGCTTACTTTGTGAACCCTGTGCTCTTGCCGTGTGGCCATTCACTCTGTCTGACGTGCGCTCTAGCATTGCAGAGCTTGCACCCAGGAGATGAACCCCCTCTTGGTTTCTCAGCTGCTGCCGATTTTTGTATCGCTCACGATTCTGGAGGATCCGGGGGCAGCGACACGACCAGCCTCTGTGTCAGCGAAGTCGATACGGAATATTGCGAAAAAGTGTCAATGTTATCGGAGACAGATTCTGGCGTCATATGCAACGGCAGTCGTCCTGGCAGCTTTGTGGGAACCCCATGTTCGCGCCGGTCTGCTACTGTTTCTTTGAACTGCCTGCAGTCGACTTCGTCCTACCTGGTTTGTCCAGCATGCCAAAAGTGTACTCATTTTGATGAGGTCGGCGCCAATTCCTTGCCGAGGAACAGGGCGCTGGCCAACGTTGTGCTGCGTTATTGCTCATGGAACGCAGCAAGTAATCTGTCGTTCGCCGATCCTTTCAGCCAGGCTTCACCTCAGTGCCAACTGTGCGAGAATCAGCCACTTCCAGCAACCGTCTTCTGTGGAGAATGCAGCATATATTATTGCCAAAAGTGCCTTCGAAGCTGTCACCCTCTACGCGGTCCTTTGGCCAAACACAGCCTCTCCCCAATTATTCTACCGTCTCACCGAACCGTTACTTCCGATTCTGATTCCGTGATCAATAAAGAAGTGCAATGCCCTGAACATCATGACCACACTCTCAACGTATACTGCTTGAAATGCAAGAAACCTGTTTGTCCTATTTGCGTAGAAGATACTCGCCACAGCGGTCACGAAACGCAATCATTTTTTGCAATTACCAAAGCTCAAAAGGTACGTGCGCGTTTTCAATTAAAATCCGCAAAATCTTAATGATTGTTTATAAACAATAAGAACGACTTTCATGTGAACTTACGGTTTAGGTCAAAGTTTGGTAATATTTCCTATTTTTATTAATTTTGGCCACGGAAGATCCGTCCTCTAAAACATCCGGGTTTCTTTTCCATTTGTCATGCCTTTCAATGTCCATTGTTCTTGTATCAAAATGTAAAATTTTATCACTTTTTCCGTGCACTGATTTTTGATCTTTCTGTCACAGGGCAGACCGGGAATCTTATTTAAAAGACAATGGCATCATTCTAATGATTATTTGCTAGAGCTCAAAGCTGCAGTCAGATACGTAGTAGCTTATTACGCGGGTAGACAGAGCTGTCATGAACCAACGCCGATGTAACAGGAACGTAATCGTCTGGCTTTTCGTCACTGCTGAGCAGACGTTTCTCGCCCCACCAATCCATCATCCTGAAGCCTGCTCGACACCGGCACTTCAGCGCAGATGTCCTTTTTATTTCTTGAAGCTCTCATAATTAATATGCAAGTGTCGTGGTCACATAGTGGAGCAAATAGGCGCATGAATTCTTTTGTTGATGTTTCATTTCCGCGCCAGCTGTTTCCTTTCTGTTGTCAGATTAAAGCCGTCACTTGTCTCGACTTAGATAAACTTAACATGGCGCTTGTTCCAGTATTCTGCGAGAAATACGCACAAACTGTGAAACTTAGGAACAACATCAGTTTCAAATATCAAAAACAAATTCTTCAGTAGGTAAAAGTTTTCTTTAGCACTCTTTGTTACCTTTTGACAGTAGAGAAAAGAAAGCAAACAAATTCAATTAAATTTACTACTTATGTTCCGCTTAAAAAACATGTTTTCCTTTCTCAGCGAGTGTATCGTAAATATACAAAGGGTTGTAAGCATTTATAAAGAATAAAAAAACATGAAGTCAAGTTTTCCAAAACCTGTTCCATCTATGGAAGAAGATTTACTGAATAAAGTTGACTTCAAGAGCCAACGCAAACACGTGCCTTTACTTACTTACCAAAAAAATGAGTGCAAAAAAGACATCCGCAGAAACGCGTTGCCCATCTGTGAGCAAGTGGAAAGATTAGGGATCAACATGAAGGCTCACCAGCGATGCAAAGAGCGATGTAGTTTTATCACCAACCGAACGTCTTTGCTTCTGTCGATTAGGCGTCGAATGATAGAGGATACCGGGGAATATTGAAAAGCCTGTGCTACATCGAATCGGCCTCAAGTGGTTACGTAAAAGTGATTCTGCAGCGACATGCAACAAAATTTCTCCAAATAGGATGTTAGGGATTTTTCTCTAAGTTCAACAGCCCAGTTTATGAAAACGGTAGCTATTCGTCTTTCCAGATCTTAAATATGTAAGCCGCAATGATACTAGTGGAGCCTTAGCAATCGTTTTTTATGCCTAATACTTCTAAAGAAGGAGAACTGGTATTTTTAATCCTGCAAGACAGGCTAAAGCAGCTGTTAGGTCACTCTGCATATTGCGTTGTTCTTTCCAAAGGTTGGTTAAGTACCTCACCATGAGGTGGACAGCTGGTTTTCGACATATTTCCTTGCAGTATCCACTAGTTTCCTGTCCTGGTGATCAGTATTTGTGATTCACATTATTAAAGGCGTCGAAACAGTGGATAAGTTGGGTCGCGAAGTAATGGTTGGCAATGATCATTCATCTATCGTATCAGTTTTCTCAACGAAAAAGTATCAAATTCCTTAACATTCTACTTGCAATCTCACCAGGCTTCAGAAGCGCAACAGCTGTGTCTGGTTTAATGAGCAGAAATGGCGGGATAATATGGAGAAATGCCGGCACTATTCCAACAATGCCAGAAATCAGGCAGCAGGTTTGCAGTCTTGGGGAGAAGCAAAGTGAAAATGGACTTCTGGACTTGATATTAACAGTCAAACAAAACATGCTAGACAGCAGAATGTCCACAGATGGTTTCCAGACAGAACGAACAGAATGGGAGAGAAATTCAATCTGGCGCAATTACATGTACAAGGAACGTAGAAAGATTATGCCAATATCTCATACGTCGTACTCAATCTGTATGTAACTGTTCATGCAGAGAGACTATCCATGAACGAACTGTTATAAATCCTGAGCATATTGTTAACGGCTGATTTCTGTTCTAACCGGAAGCTTATAGAACACTGATCGATTAGCTGCTGACTTCGAGCATCACTGGATGAACCAAGGGTGTATTCCGTTATTCAGCACCTTCTTCTCGAACCGAATTGTCTCAGTTATGGAGTCACCGGTGACTAACTGAATTACTTCATTGTGGAGTATTCCCCTTGCGCTGGTACTCCCCCCTTATTCCATATCGCAATATGCTAATATCACCAACGTTTACAGCTTTGAAGAATGCCAACAATGCATGTAATAATCTGAATAATTCATGCAACAGTTCATGAACTTGTACTGCATTTACAAATGGGTTGTTAGTCGGCATAGATAAATCGAAAAATATGAAGCCTTTATGAACTTAATTTTAGCATGGTTGATACGGTTGCAGGCCAAAGTCAGTGTGCTAAGGGCCGTCACCTTCATTATAACAGCAATATCATGTTTAACATGCTTACAGATGCGGTCAATGGCCAAAGTGCTAAACTGGTTGTCCGAAATTACAATGTTAGTGCATCTCATTTAAGTTCTGGGGATGGTCGCGGAAAAAATTTACGAAATTATTAAATGCTCATACTTCTGTGACTTATC